GCTTTAAACGCTGCACGCTCATACTCTCTCTGCACTCGATATGTGATCCATTGTTGATCTGCACACAGCTGTTGTCACGAATGTCGCACTCGCTTACATCACTGTCATGAGACATTGTAGCAAAAAATATCACGGTTTTAGTAACGCAGCGTTCCTACTGGAAAGTAACAGTAATCTAATTACCGTTTTTGCAATAGTAATCCCTTACTTTACTAGTTACTTGAAAAAAGTAATCAGATTATAGTAACGCGTTACTGCCCATCTCTGTTGAAGAAAATGAGAAAGAGAGGAGGTTACTAGGATGGATGGAGGAAAGCTAGAGAATGAGGAAGTGCAGAGCATTAAAAGAAAGTGAGGGCAGCTATGAAGAGTGTAAAGGTGGTTTGCCCCGATGACAAACCTGTGGAGCTATGGTGATGTCAGAGACGGCAGTTAAGTTTCTAATCAGATTGTTCAACAGAACCTTGGATCTACTCATCCATTTCAACAATAAGGTTGATGTGCAAAGTTGTAGTAACAGAAGGATGAAGATGATGAGCCACACACTAGATATGGGAAAGAATTGTTGAAGCTAGGTTAAGAAGAGAGGTGAGCATCAGTGCAGCTTCATTCTGAGAAAGAGCTCCACACACCTGATGTTTACTTTGAGAGTGTTGATGGAGAAGCATAGAGAAGAGAGGGTCAAAGGCTGACAGGTGAGGTAAGGCAGAAGTCTCTGTATCATGTTGTCAGACAACACTGTGACCTGTAGTTGGAGTAGGTGGAGGTATGCTGTGGACAGAAGAGGAGTGAAGGTCAATAGAACCAAAACCGAATACGTGTGTGAAGGAGCGGGATTTAGGTGGTGCGGTGAACATGCAAGGAGCAGAGACAATGAAAGTAGCTGTTTAAATACCTGTTGTTGAGAATGCAGGCAGGGTGGCGTGGGTGGAGACGGGCGTCAGGGTGATTTGTGACAGAAGGATAGCAGGCAGAGAGAAAGGGAAGGTTTTACGATATGGTAGGGAGACCTGCTGTGAGACGGTGGTGCTGAGCTGGTGGCGGAGTTGAAGGTGTTAAAGCTGTCATTGGGAGCGACGGCTCAGGTCGAGCATTTTTGAAACAAAGTTAGAGAGACGAGGCTGAGGTGGCTTAGACATGTGCACAGGAGGGATGGTGGATATGATGGAGAAAGGATGTTGAAGATGAGCTGCCAGGCATTTATGGATGTAGTGATGGAGGACAAGCAGAGGGTGTGACAGAGGAGGAAGCCAAAGAAGAAGACTGTAATCTGCAGAGCCCTCAAAGTACACTAACATAATAATTTTCTGTTGACACAAAGAAACCAGCTTGAGCGTCTCCTCGTTATGTAAATCCAAACATCATAAAAATGCAGAAATGTTGAGATGTGTGAAAATGATATCTATCAAATAAAGGATTGGAGAATAGAGAAAAAGCTTCTCTACACAAGGAACAAGGCTGGAAAAATACTAATGTGTGTTATGTTTGGATCCTCAAGCTGCAATTACATTAAAACACACATGGTCCTGTAGTGGAAATCACTTTGTGGGCTTACAACAGACCAGTGCTGGAACCATAAATGGAAGTTAAAACTCCACCAAGCAAAACAAAAAGAGGCCAGGACCCCAGCAGCCCTCTCTGGGCCTCGTTGGTGATGGAGTGGGTGGAAGTAAAAGCTTCCTGTGGTCTGATCAATCAAAATCCAAAATTGTGTTTGAAAATCTTGGAATTTTTGCCCTGACAGGACAAAAAGGAAATGGATCCAGCTTATGTGTGTAGTTCAAAAGCAAACTTTGTTCTACCTAATATTGATCATACAGTGCTCACAACACCAGGCCTTCAGTAGTAAATGATGAGAATTTCCATCAGTGTCTGTATGAAACATTTGAGCTAAATTCTGCTTTAATTTACAGTTTCCTCGTCTATTGGACAAC